TTTGTCTTGGACATTTGAGTATGGCTTACGGGCATTTATTGGTTCGATCTGATTGTAAGTTACGGTCGCATGCGACACGTGCTTTTCATTTAGATCGGTCCAGTTAATGCTCTCGTACTCGCTCCCCATGTAAAAGCCGGTCATCTATCCGACCCGTCTTGAAACACGGACCAAGGAGTTTATCGTGTGCGCAAGTTTTTGGGTGTTAAAAACCTAAAAGCGAAATGAAAGTAAATGGCTCTTTAGAGTCTGATGTGAGATCTTGTAAAAAAGGGCAGCATGGCCCCATTCTAACTGTTTACAGTAGGGTGGAGGAAGAGCGTACGCGGTGAGACCCGAAAGATGGTGAACTATTCCTGAGCAGGACGAAGCCAGAGGAAACTCTGGTGGAAGTCCGAAGCGGTTCTGACGTGCAAATCGATCGTCTGACTTGGGTATAGGGGCGAAAGACTAATCGAACCATCTAGTAGCTGGTTCCCTCTGAAGTTTCCCCCAGGATAGCTGGAGCTCATTAGTAGTTATACTCGGTAAAGCGAATGATTAGAGGACTTGGGAACGAAATGTTCTTAACCTATTCTCAAACTCTAAATGGGTATGATGTCAAAGTTGCTTGATTTTGAACTTTGGCGTTGAATACGAGTTCCAAGTGGGCCATTTTTGGTAAGCAGAACTGGCGATGTGGGATGAACCAAACGCGGAGTTGAGGTGCCAAAGTGCCCGCTCATTAGACACCATAAAAGGTGTTGGTTGATACAGACAGCAGGACGGTGGCCATGGAAGTCGGAATCCGCTAAGGAGTGTGTAACAACTCACCTGCCGAATCAACTAGCCCTGAAAATGGATGGCGCTGGAGCGGGCCACCTATACTCTGCCGTCATATGCTTGTATTTTCCGTGAAAAGTCTTGCAATGACGTGTAAGAGGGTCGTAGTGGTTGCAATGAAGGCTTTGGGTGTGCACCCAGCTGGAGCTTCCACTAGTGCAGATCTTGGTGGTAGTAGCAAATATTCAAGTGAGATCCTTGAAGACTGAAGTGGAGAAGGGTTCCACGTGAACAGTAGTTGAATGTGGGTCAGTCGATCCTAAGGCACCGGCTAAAGCCGTCTAGACACTGCGGGGAGATGAGATACTTAACGGTATATTGTCTACTCAATTGCCGAAAGGGAAGTGGGTTAATATTCCCACACCAGGCATGGGAGATGGTGATCCGCAAGGATTACTTTGCGCGGTGACGCAAACGGTCTCGTAGACCTCGTGTGGAGTCCGGGCCAGAGTTCTCTTTTCTGGTTTAGAGATCATGTCCCTGGAAGTGGCTCAGCCTGAGATAGGGATGCTGGTCTCGTAAAGCGCAGCGGTTCCTGTTGTGTCAGTGTGCTCCACATGAGCCATGAAAATACGAGGGAGGCAATTTAAAATCTCCTGCCTGATCGTACCCATATCCGCAGCAGGTCTCCAAGGTGAACAGCCTCTAGTCGATAGAATAATGTAGGTAAGGGAAGTCGGCAAATTAGATTCGTAACTTCGGGAAAAGAATTTGCTCTAAAGGTTGGGTCAGTCGGGCTGTTGTGTGAAACAGGTGGACTTTGCTCGTGGCTGCTTGATCTTCCCTTCGGGGCGGCGCTTGTGGACTAGTAGTGAGGACTGCTTGTGGAGCGCTTCAGCTGCGTACTATTTCGAAAGATATAGTACTTCGATTGGCGCTGAACAACCAGTTTAGAACTGGCACGAACTCCGGGAATCCGACTGTCTAATTAAAACAGAGGAGACGGATGGTCTTTGCAGGACGTTGACCGTGTCTGATTTCTGCCCAGTGCTCTGAATGTTAAGCCAAGGAAAGCCAAGGAAACCAAAGTGCAATTGACCAAGTGTCGTAGGGTTCAGGCAATAGGGTTTTTGGTTTATGAGTCTGTGACGATCCGATTAAAAATTGCCTCAGGCAAAGTAGACCAAAGTGCAATTGACCAAGTGTCGTAGGGTTCAGGCAATAGGGTTCCCCCAGGCAATCAAATTTCACCAGGCATTTTTGGTTTATGAGTCTGTGACGATCCGATTAAAAATTGCCTCAGGCAAAGTAGACCAAAGTGCAATTGACCAAGTGTCGTAGGGTTCAGGCAATAGGGTTCCCCCAGGCAATCAAATTTCACCAGGCATTTTTGGTTTATGAGTCTGTGACGATCCGATTAAAAATTGCCTCAGGCAAAGTAGACCAAAGTGCAATTGAAAGTAGACCAAAGTGCATTAAAAAAAGATTACGACACCCCCGATTCCCAGGACGTCTCCGTTCCAAGTACTAAGGAAGCCCAGCGTTGCTTAACTTGCCAGATCGGACGGGATGGCGTGCTTTCAACGCGGTAAATTGCCTCAGGCAAAGTAGACCAAAGTGCAATTGACCAAGTGTCGTAGGGTTCAGGCAATAGGGTTCCCCCAGGCAATCAAATTTCACCAGGCATTTTTGGTTTATGAGTCTGTGACGATCCGATTAAAAATTGCCTCAGGCAAAGTAGACCAAAGTGCAATTGACCAAGTGTCGTAGGGTTCAGGCAATAGGGTTCCCCCAGGCAATCAAATTTCACCAGGCATTTTTGGTTTATGAGTCTGTGACGATCCGATTAAAAATTGCCTCAGGCAAAGTAGACCAAAGTGCAATTGACCAAGTGTCGTAGGGTTCAGGCAATAGGGTTCCCCCAGGCAATCAAATTTCACCAGGCATTTTTGGTTTATGAGTCTGTGACGATCCGATTAAAAATTGCCTCAGGCAAAGTAGACCAAAGTGCAATTGACCAAGTGTCGTAGGGTTCAGGCAATAGGGTTCCCCCAGGCAATCAAATTTCACCAGGCATTTTTGGTTTATGAGTCTGTGACGATCCGATTAAAAATTGCCTCAGGCAAAGTAGACCAAAGTGCAATTGAAAGTAGACCAAAGTGCATTAAAAAAAGATTACGACACCCCCGATTCCCAGGACGTCTCCGTTCCAAGTACTAAGGAAGCCCAGCGTTGCTTAACTTGCCAGATCGGACGGGATGGCGTGCTTTCAACGCGGTAAATTGCCTCAGGCAAAGTAGACCAAAGTGCAATTGACCAAGTGTCGTAGGGTTCAGGCAATAGGGTTCCCCCAGGCAATCAAATTTCACCAGGCATTTTTGGTTTATGAGTCTGTGACGATCCGATTAAAAATTGCCTCAGGCAAAGTAGACCAAAGTGCAATTGACCAAGTGTCGTAGGGTTCAGGCAATAGGGTTTTTGGTTTATGAGTCTGTGACGATCCGATTAAAAATTGCCTCAGGCAAAGTAGACCAAAGTGCAATTGACCAAGTGTCGTAGGGTTCAGGCAATAGGGTTCCCCCAGGCAATCAAATTTCACCAGGCATTTTTGGTTTATGAGTCTGTGACGATCCGATTAAAAATTGCCTCAGGCAAAGTAGACCAAAGTGCAATTGACCAAGTGTCGTAGGGTTCAGGCAATAGGGTTCCCCCAGGCAATCAAATTTCACCAGGCATTTTTGGTTTATGAGTCTGTGACGATCCGATTAAAAATTGCCTCAGGCAAAGTAGACCAAAGTGCAATTGACCAAGTGTCGTAGGGTTCAGGCAATAGGGTTCCCCCAGGCAATCAAATTTCACCAGGCATTTTTGGTTTATGAGTCTGTGACGATCCGATTAAAAATCCCCCCCCCAGTCAATCAAATTTACCCAAGGCAATCAAATAATCGACTCAAGTAAAATATATACTCAAGTAAAGGTATGTATATATAAACTACAATTTATAAAAAAGTTAAATAATTGTTTTCTATAGACTCAAGTGTGTTTTCTTAGACTCAAGTTTTTGCCAAAGCATTAAAAAAAGATTACGACACCCCCGATTCCCAGGACGTCTCCGTTCCAAGTACTAAGGAAGCCCAGCGTTGCTTAACTTGCCAGATCGGACGGGATGGCGTGCTTTCAACGCGGTAAATTGCCTCAGGCAAAGTAGACCAAAGTGCAATTGACCAAGTGTCGTAGGGTTCAGGCAATAGGGTTCCCCCAGGCAATCAAATTTCACCAGGCATTTTTGGTTTATGAGTCTGTGACGATCCGATTAAAAATCCCCCCCCCCCCAGTCAATCAAATTTACCCAAGGCAATCAAATAATCGACTCAAGTAAAATATATACTCAAGTAAAGGTATGTATATATAAACTACAATTTATAAAAAAGTTAAATAATTGTTTTCTATAGACTCAAGTGTGTTTTCTTAGACTCAAGTTTTTGCCAAAGCATTAAAAAAAGATTACGACACCCCCGATTCCCAGGACGTCTCCGTTCCAAGTACTAAGGAAGCTCAGCGTTGCTTAACTTGCCAGATCGGACGGGATGGCGTGCTTTCAACGCGGTATGGTCGTAATCACTGTGTTTTCAATTTCTCAATATTTAAGAAAAAATTCTCTAAGGCAAAGTGGGCGGGGCTATTTGTTGTTCGCTGTTCGCGGGAATGGTTTAAGGCAAAAAGAAAATGGGCAATTATAAAAATGTGTGGGAGGAAAATTAGGATTAAAAAAATTTTTTTGAAGAATTAAATTTTTTAAAAAAAATAAAGCTTATAATAATAAACTTTAATCTTTTTTTAAATTTAAAGTTTATTATTATAAGCTTTATTTTTTTAAAAAATTTACTGTTATTATTATATTAAGCTTTATTATCAGTTTATTTTAAAGCAGCTTTATTCTAAATCTGATAATAATCATAAGCTTTATAATCCTAATTTTTCTCCAGCTGCAATATTTATTTGGCTCCAGACAATTGTCAGGAATTGCCATTGATAACTTTTGTGAAAGTGCCGCTGATAAATTGTAAATAATTTAGATATCTTTTGCAAAGGAAATTAAATATATAATAAGCTGTCATTAATTTTTAATTTCAGATTATTTTCGAGATTTTATTCCAAAATTATCAATATAATCAATATTAATGACAGCTTAATTACCCGCAGACTGGGTAATTCCAGCTCTGCTAACTACCTAAATAAAAGATATCTGGTTGATCCTGCCTGAACTGATGTGTTCATTTCAAAGATTAAGCCATGCATGTATAAGTTTAATCGTTTTAACGAGAAACCGCGAACGGCTCATTACAATGGCCATGATTTACTTGATCTTGATTATCTAAATGGATAACTGTGGAAAAGCTAGAGCTAATACATGCACCAAAGCTTTGTCCTCACGGAAAAGCGCATTTATTAGAACAAAACCACGCGGCTTCGGCTGCTTCTTGTTGACTCAGAATAACTAAGCTGACCGCATGGCCTTGTGCCGGCGGCGTGTCTTTCAAGCGTCCACTTTATCAACTTGACGGGAGCATAATCGACTCCCGTGGTGGTGACGGATAACGGAGGATCAGGGTTCGACTCCGGAGAAGGGGCCTGAGAAATGGCCACTACGTCTAAGGATGGCAGCAGGCGCGCAAATTACCCACTCTCGGCTCGAGGAGGTAGTGACGAGAAATAACGAGACTGTTCTCTTTGAGGCCGGTCATCGGAATGGGTACAATTTAAACCCTTTAACGAGTATCAAGCAGAGGGCAAGTCTGGTGCCAGCAGCCGCGGTAATTCCAGCTCTGCTAATACATAGAATTATTGCTGCGGTTAAAAAGCTCGTAGTTGGATTCGTATCGGTACCTTGGAACCCTTCGGGTGTTTCTGGGTGTTATCGATTTATCGTAATGTTCGGTTTTGAGTCCTTAACAGGATTCTTAACAGTCATTGCAAGTTTACTTTGAACAAATCAGAGTGCTTCAAACAGGCGTTTTCGCTTGAATGATCGTGCATGGAATAATAGAAAACGATTTCGGTTCAGTTTTATTGGTTTTACGGACTGAGATAATGGTTAACAGAGACAAACGGGGGCATTTGTATGGCCCCGTGAGAGGTGAAATTCTTGGACCGTGGCCAGACAAACTACAGCGAAAGCATTTGCCAAGAATGTCTTCATTAATCAAGAACGAAAGTCAGAGGTTCGAAGGCGATCAGATACCGCCCTAGTTCTGACCGTAAACGATGCCAACTAGCGATCCGCTGATGGAAATTATATTGCCTTGGTGGGGAGCTTCCCGGAAACGAAAGTCTTCCGGTTCCGGGGGAAGTATGGTTGCAAAGCTGAAACTTAAAGGAATTGACGGAAGGGCACCACCAGGAGTGGAGCCTGCGGCTTAATTTGACTCAACACGGGGAAACTCACCCGGCCCGGACACTGTGAGGATTGACAGATTGATAGCTTTTTCATGATTCAGTGGATGGTGGTGCATGGCCGTTCTTAGTTCGTGGAGTGATTTGTCTGGTTTATTCCGATAACGAGCGAGACTCTAACCTACTAAATAGCTGATACATACTCTTTGTGTATACAGCTTCTTAGAGGGATTTGCGGCGTTCAGCCGAAAGAAATTGAGCAATAACAGGTCTGTGATGCCCTTAGATGTCCGGGGCTGCACGCGCGCTACACTGGCAAAATCAACGTGCTTGTCCTACCCTGAAAGGGGCGGGTAAACCATTGAAAATTTGCCGTGATTGGGATCGGAAATTGCAATTATTTTCCGTGAACGAGGAATTCCAAGTAAGTGCGAGTCATCAGCTCGCGTTGATTACGTCCCTGCCCTTTGTACACACCGCCCGTCGCTGCCCGGGACTGAGCCATTTCGAGAAATTTGGGGACCGTTGATTTAATTTATCTAAATTATTTTGATGGAAACCAATTTAATCGCAGTGGCTTGAACCGGGCAAAAGTCGTAACAAGGTAGCTGTAGGTGAACCTGCTGCTGGATCATTACTTTATGTGATGTTCAATTTTGAATCGCAATGAAATAATTGTTGTGTAACGGCTGTCGCTGGTGTCTAGGTGTTGCTGATACAGTTGTGAACGTCCGTGGCTGTATATGTGGTGACATGTTAGGACTATAATGAGTTTAAGACTTAATGAGCCTCTTAAGTGAGGACGCCAGCACTCTTTTTTTCTCTATATTTTAAAAAAAAACAAAATTCCTAGCCTTTCCGGTGGATCACTAGGCTCGTGGATCGATGAAGAACGCAGCAAACTGCGATAAGTTTTGCGAACTGCAGCAGCCTTGAGCATAAAAGTTTTGAACGCATATTGCCGCATAGGGGTCAAACCCTTTGCTATGTCTGGTTCAGGGTCATTTTCTTTCAAAGCGAAAGCTTTATTGTATAATTGCTTTTGTGGCTTCTTTATGTTTTAAATTGATTGTTAGATATGTTTAATTGTTCGCATGTATCATCAACAATATTAATTTTTTGACCTGAACTCAGTCGAGAGCACCCGCTGAACTTAAGCATATCAGTAAGCGGAGGAAAAGAAACTAAACAGGATTCCCCCAGTAACGGCGAGTGAATAGGGAAATGTCCATCGCTAAATCATTTTGCCTAAGGCATTATGAGGTGTAGCGTATAAGCCGTAATTTTTAATCTTTTGTCTCAAATAAGTCCCCTTGACAGGGGTTCCACAGAAGGTGCAAGTCCTGTACATTGAGATAATTGATCGATATTTACGTGCTTTAGAGTCGGGTTGTTTGGGATCGCAGCCCAAAGTCGGTGGTAAACTTCATCTAAGACTCAATATTGCCACGAGACCGATAGCAAACAAGTACTGTGAAGGAAAGTTGCAAAGCACTTTGAAGAGAGAGTTAAAGAGGACGTGAAACCGGAGAGGTGGAAACGGATAGAGTCGGCGTATCTTTCAAGTATTCATTTACATTATTTTTATGTTGTGATCTCTGAGCTCCAGATTGGGACAGAAAGAAGCATCATAATTTTCTGTGATGCATTTGCTTGTTTGGTGCTTGGGGATGTTTGAGGCAGATTTGTAACCGCCGTTTTGATGCCAGCTTGCTGGTACCCAAACAGCGTTAGCATCTTTTGTCTTGGACATTTGAGTATGGCTTACGGGCATTTATTGGTTCGATCTGATTGTAAGTTACGGTCGCATGCGACACGTGCTTTTCATTTAGATCGGTCCAGTTAATGCTCTCGTACTCGCTCCCCATGTAAAAGCCGGTCATCTATCCGACCCGTCTTGAAACACGGACCAAGGAGTTTATCGTGTGCGCAAGAGACCCGAAAGATGGTGAACTATTCCTGAGCAGGACGAAGCCAGAGGAAACTCTGGTGGAAGTCCGAAGCGGTTCTGACGTGCAAATCGATCGTCTGACTTGGGTATAGGGGCGAAAGACTAATCGAACCATCTAGTAGCTGGTTCCCTCTGAAGTTTCCCCCAGGATAGCTGGAGCTCATTAGTAGTTATACTCGGTAAAGCGAATGATTAGAGGACTTGGGAACGAAATGTTCTTAACCTATTCTCAAACTCTAAATGGGTATGATGTCAAAGTTGCTTGATTTTGAACTTTGGCGTTGAATACGAGTTCCAAGTGGGCCATTTTTGGTAAGCAGAACTGGCGATGTGGGATGAACCAAACGCGGAGTTGAGGTGCCAAAGTGCCCGCTCATTAGACACCATAAAAGGTGTTGGTTGATACAGACAGCAGGACGGTGGCCATGGAAGTCGGAATCCGCTAAGGAGTGTGTAACAACTCACCTGCCGAATCAACTAGCCCTGAAAATGGATGGCGCTGGAGCGGGCCACCTATACTCTGCCGTCATATGCTTGTATTTTCCGTGAAAAGTCTTGCAATGACGTGTAAGAGGGTCGTAGTGGTTGCAATGAAGGCTTTGGGTGTGCACCCAGCTGGAGCTTCCACTAGTGCAGATCTTGGTGGTAGTAGCAAATATTCAAGTGAGATCCTTGAAGACTGAAGTGGAGAAGGGTTCCACGTGAACAGTAGTTGAATGTGGGTCAGTCGATCCTAAGGCACCGGCTAAAGCCGTCTAGACACTGCGGGGAGATGAGATACTTAACGGTATATTGTCTACTCGGTTGCCGAAAGGGAAGTGGGTTAATATTCCCACACCAGGCATGGGAGATGGTGATCCGCAAGGATTACTTTGCGCGGTGACGCAAACGAACTCGTAGACCTCGTGTGGAGTCCGGGCCAGAGTTCTCTTTTCTGGTTTAGAGATCATGTCCCTGGAAGTGGCTCAGCCTGAGATAGGGATGCTGGTCTCGTAAAGCGCAGCGGTTCCTGTTGTGTCAGTGTGCTCCACATGAGCCATGAAAATACGAGGGAGGCAATTTAAAATCTCCTGCCTGATCGTACCCATATCCGCAGCAGGTCTCCAAGGTGAACAGCCTCTAGTCGATAGAATAATGTAGGTAAGGGAAGTCGGCAAATTAGATTCGTAACTTCGGGAAAAGAATTTGCTCTAAAGGTTGGGTCAGTCGGGCTGTTGTGTGAAACAGGTGGACTTTGCTCGTGGCTGCTTGATCTTCCCTTCGGGGCGGCGCTTGTGGACTAGTAGTGAGGACTGCTTGTGGAGCGCTTCAGCTGCGTACTATTTCGAAAGATATAGTACTTCGATTGGCGCTGAACAACCAGTTTAGAACTGGCACGAACTCCGGGAATCCGACTGTCTAATTAAAACAGAGGAGACGGATGGTCTTTGCAGGACGTTGACCGTGTCTGATTTCTGCCCAGTGCTCTGAATGTTAAGCCAAGGAAAGCCAAGGAAACCAAAGTGCAATTGACCAAGTGTCGTAGGGTTCAGGCAATAGGGTTTTTGGTTTATGAGTCTGTGACGATCCGATTAAAAATTGCCTCAGGCAAAGTAGACCAAAGTGCAATTGACCAAGTGTCGTAGGGTTCAGGCAATAGGGTTCCCCCAGGCAATCAAATTTCACCAGGCATTTTTGGTTTATGAGTCTGTGACGATCCGATTAAAAATTGCCTCAGGCAAAGTAGACCAAAGTGCAATTGACCAAGTGTCGTAGGGTTCAGGCAATAGGGTTCCCCCAGGCAATCAAATTTCACCAGGCATTTTTGGTTTATGAGTCTGTGACGATCCGATTAAAAATTGCCTCAGGCAAAGTAGACCAAAGTGCAATTGAAAGTAGACCAAAGTGCATTAAAAAAAGATTACGACACCCCCGATTCCCAGGACGTCTCCGTTCCAAGTACTAAGGAAGCCCAGCGTTGCTTAACTTGCCAGATCGGACGGGATGGCGTGCTTTCAACGCGGTAAATTGCCTCAGGCAAAGTAGACCAAAGTGCAATTGACCAAGTGTCGTAGGGTTCAGGCAATAGGGTTCCCCCAGGCAATCAAATTTCACCAGGCATTTTTGGTTTATGAGTCTGTGACGATCCGATTAAAAATTGCCTCAGGCAAAGTAGACCAAAGTGCAATTGACCAAGTGTCGTAGGGTTCAGGCAATAGGGTTCCCCCAGGCAATCAAATTTCACCAGGCATTTTTGGTTTATGAGTCTGTGACGATCCGATTAAAAATTGCCTCAGGCAAAGTAGACCAAAGTGCAATTGACCAAGTGTCGTAGGGTTCAGGCAATAGGGTTCCCCCAGGCAATCAAATTTCACCAGGCATTTTTGGTTTATGAGTCTGTGACGATCCGATTAAAAATTGCCTCAGGCAAAGTAGACCAAAGTGCAATTGACCAAGTGTCGTAGGGTTCAGGCAATAGGGTTCCCCCAGGCAATCAAATTTCACCAGGCATTTTTGGTTTATGAGTCTGTGACGATCCGATTAAAAATTGCCTCAGGCAAAGTAGACCAAAGTGCAATTGAAAGTAGACCAAAGTGCATTAAAAAAAGATTACGACACCCCCGATTCCCAGGACGTCTCCGTTCCAAGTACTAAGGAAGCCCAGCGTTGCTTAACTTGCCAGATCGGACGGGATGGCGTGCTTTCAACGCGGTAAATTGCCTCAGGCAAAGTAGACCAAAGTGCAATTGACCAAGTGTCGTAGGGTTCAGGCAATAGGGTTCCCCCAGGCAATCAAATTTCACCAGGCATTTTTGGTTTATGAGTCTGTGACGATCCGATTAAAAATTGCCTCAGGCAAAGTAGACCAAATTGCAATTGACCAAGTGTCGTAGGGTTCAGGCAATAGGGTTTTTGGTTTATGAGTCTGTGACGATCCGATTAAAAATTGCCTCAGGCAAAGTAGACCAAAGTGCAATTGACCAAGTGTCGTAGGGTTCAGGCAATAGGGTTCCCCCAGGCAATCAAATTTCACCAGGCATTTTTGGTTTATGAGTCTGTGACGATCCGATTAAAAATTGCCTCAGGCAAAGTAGACCAAAGTGCAATTGACCAAGTGTCGTAGGGTTCAGGCAATAGGGTTCCCCCAGGCAATCAAATTTCACCAGGCATTTTTGGTTTATGAGTCTGTGACGATCCGATTAAAAATTGCCTCAGGCAAAGTAGACCAAAGTGCAATTGACCAAGTGTCGTAGGGTTCAGGCAATAGGGTTCCCCCAGGCAATCAAATTTCACCAGGCATTTTTGGTTTATGAGTCTGTGACGATCCGATTAAAAATCCCCCCCCCCCAGTCAATCAAATTTACCCAAGGCAATCAAATAATCGACTCAAGTAAAATATATACTCAAGTAAAGGTATGTATATATAAACTACAATTTATAAAAAAGTTAAATAATTGTTTTCTATAGACTCAAGTGTGTTTTCTTAGACTCAAGTTTTTGCCAAAGCATTAAAAAAAGATTACGACACCCCCGATTCCCAGGACGTCTCCGTTCCAAGTACTAAGGAAGCCCAGCGTTGCTTAACTTGCCAGATCGGACGGGATGGCGTGCTTTCAACGCGGTAAATTGCCTCAGGCAAAGTAGACCAAAGTGCAATTGACCAAGTGTCGTAGGGTTCAGGCAATAGGGTTCCCCCAGGCAATCAAATTTC